AGTGTGTTTGTACCGGGGACAGGAGACCCCCCCTTGATGAGAAACTTTAAGAAATGATCGGGGAATCCCTCCGGAGTGGAGTTATGACGAGTGGATCTGAATTATTTTTTTGTATTTGGTGGTTTGTGTTCCAGCTTTCGATCAGCAACTATATATCCATATCCACCAGTTTAAGGAAATACAACTAATGTGTTGTGTTATATTATCTGTACAATTGACCACATATGGTGCTCTTAGTTTCCATACCTCCTGTGTTTTACGAGCGAGTTATCAAGTCTTGGCGAATGGCATAAAACATGATTAAACATGATAGTATATAAAACCATGCTCGTATCTAAACAACCTATAGAAATGCAAAACAGCGTCAGTTTAAAGTAATTCTGTCCTTCTGCCTACCGCATCATTTATGAGAATACATTTCTTAACAAGGGAACATAATCGAGGGGTGATCAATAACATTTCCGTATTTATTAATTTCTCCAAGTTATGTTTTTGTGCACTGAGGAGTCTCAAACAGGCGTTTGTTAAATCATTTTAGGATTGGCTTTAATCAATTTGTGAAAATTAATTCTTCATATATGATGAATGCGAGGTAACATTTTATTTATGGTATTATTTCCACATATTTCTCTTCATTCTTCCTTCTGCCAACGGTGTCGCAGTTTCTCGTCTCTCCCGTTTTTGTGCGTATGCATGAGTCAGAGTGTGCGTGGAGGGCCGCACATTTCCCGTCAAGTTTTTTTTTAATAAATCGCAAAGATCGCTTAGAATCTGGCGTACGCCATCTTTTGAGTGTACGCACCGTTTATAAATGTGGTCTCTTAGAAATTATATGTATGCTATTTATAGAACAGTAATTAGCAGAAATAATCACATTTGGTAATAAATACATATCTGCCATTATATTCAGCATTTTAACATACAATATAGTCCTCAAATTGTAAAACAGCCAAAAGACTAAATATGACCCCAACCTGATGCAGCAGGGTAGAGTTAAACACACCCCCCCCCCCAGTCATCCACCAGATGACTGGTGATTGAATGTTAATACAAATACATTTTTGCTTTTTGTTGTGTTTTCTCTTCTCTGTGCAGAGTGAATTTCTCTTTTCTAACCAGTTTTTTCCCTCTTTCTATCTATTCTGTATAACCCATCAGACGATACACGTGGCCATCGTGTGTGCAGGTTACAACGCCAGTCGAGATGTGGTGACGTTGGTTAAATCCGTCCTCTTCCACAGGTACAGAAATGCTCTTTTTTTCACTTAATATCCTTCTAACTCCAACCAGGTCTCGTAGAAATTATATGTATGCTATTTATAGAACAGTAATTAGCCGAAATAATCACATTCGGTAATAAATCTATGTACATATCTGGCAATATTTGCAGCACTTCAACGTTAAAATATCTGACGTGAATGTAAAGTAGTGTGAAACGTTACTGTTTTCCGTCTTGTGTAAACATGAATAATGAATGGTTTAATATGAGTTGTAGATGGAGGATTGATTATGAATCAGTCCCTGTGCATTGGGCCTTCCAGCTTCTATGGCTCCATCTTAATTAGCTCCTGGTTTGCAGGTAAATTAATCATGAGTGCAATGATATTTTATTCAGCTGGAAACTTCAACTATTGCTGATACATCTTCAGACTGTTTCATAAATGTTTCTATCATGACCGGAAACATTTAAAAAGGACGGTCTCTATAATTCTTTTATATTTTCTAAGGTCAAGCATGAGGTTTATTATGCTTTAATGTGACAGGGGGTTGCTCATAAGTCAACATATTGTATAACTCTTTTAAACCAACTGAAATCATCTGTACTATGTCTCTCACCTAATCTTTCAAACCAGAACACACTAATGATGTCATTGTCCCAGATGTCCATATATCTGCTTAAAAATAATCTTTAGTTAAAGTAATCTATTGCATACATGATCAATGGTTGGAAGCATCAAGTGTTGCATCACTTTTTACTGTCTTTATTGTCCAAAGGCTAAACAAGTATATACAGGACTGTCTCAGAAAATTAGAATATTGTGATAAAGTTCTTTATTTNTCTGTCTGTTACTTTAGATGAAAATAAGGAGCCACTCCCCACGCCCCTCTTGAATCTCCTCCTAGAGCACCATTGTGTTATTTTTAACCAAATCTCTCTCAGAGGGGCGTGGGGAGTGGCTCCTTATTTTCATCTAAAGTAACAGACAGAGAATCAGCACTTTTGAAACAGGGCTGAAACAGAGGGGATTATGGGATGCTGCAATGATCTGTTTGGTGTTTGGAGCCAAACACTTCAGAGACATGTTTTGTATATATCTGAGACCTGTAATATATTGATGAAAAACAGTATAATAGGGGACCTTTAAGTGAAAAAATTAAAGTGAAATTCATTCTGCACAGAGAAGAAAAAACACAATAAAAAGCAAAAGTGTATTTGTTTTAACAAGATAATCTTGTTATTGCCCTGGACCTCTCCCTCACGGCTATAACCCATGGGTTATAGCTTCAGTTTTAGCTCTCCCTTAAACAAGATGTCTGAACTCCATGTGCACTTCCTCTCCACTCTCAGAGCTTCTGCAGTTATCTCCCTGCGGGGGCGAGGGCAGCTGGGCTAACCCGCTCTAACCCTCCAAACGATGGTCATGTTCGAGCACTGCTGGAGGGGCGCTACAGTCAGACTGCCCTCTCTTTTTCTGTCCTTCTCACCCTGACGGCGCTCTGCTCTCCCCCGGCCTTGAACAGTGCCTGGCTGCAGCCGAGGACTGAAAGTGAGTGACAGCTGGTGTGGGAGGAAAGTAGAAGGTGGTGATAAGAAAAACAACTGAGGGCATATCCAGAAAAGCAACTGAGGGCATATCCTCTCTCCGAGCACTACACAGCAGAACTGCAGCAGAGAGACTGTCAGCTCCAAACCTCCTGGTATTTTCACTGCATTCTCATTATTCAGAACTACTGGATTATATAAATGTAATATGACATTTTTAAAGTCTCTTTGCATCAATGTGAAGAGTGCACCTTAATATATTTAGTAAATGTTTGGTTTGAACTGTCATTCATTTACCAAATGTATTCAGTTCAGTTTCCTGGAATCATGGATTTAGTTAAAGTTATTCACTTTTTGGAATTCATACATACTGCACCTTTAAACTTGTAACTACATAGGGGGACGCATCTCACTTTTGCAGTGCTTGTGTACATATATTTTGATTCATGGTCTACCAACTGTGAAACAAGGTAAAAAAAACATGGCATTCAACAAGTCATTCAGATGTTAAAAGCAGAACGAATACAACCCTGTATCTCATACAATAGAAGGTTTTCTTTGCTTGTGTGTAAGGAACACTATGGAAAAATAAGCAACTTAAAACAGGCCATTTTAATTGTATTAATAGTGCTTGAATGTGAATTGATAGAATGTTAAAGAGGACATATAATGCTCATTTCCAGGTTCATATTTGTATTTTGTGATGTGGAATTGATGATTGGAGTGTGCGACTGATACATAGTGATGTCATCATGTTGCAGAAGTAAAGAAACTCTAGATTTTACCCTTTGCAGACCATTTGCATGCACCAAAAATGATATAACACACTAATAAAAGCATAATAGTACCTTTTTAACAGTATTTAGGGATTAACTGATTACATTTTCTTTTGAAGGTAATTCTGAAACGTACTGTGTAAACCCATGAGCTTCACAGTCCTGAACCAATATCCTGAATATGTACCATAACGCCTTCCTACCTGTAAGTGTAGGCTTTTCTACTCACCCAGACAAACACCTACTGAGCTGAGAGGCGATGTGCTGTGTTGGTGTGAGGCACTATCACTGCAGGGATCAGAGCATGGCTGTGTTAAAGCACTCACATCATCCAGCCTCCTGACAGCGAGCCATATCCCAACAGAGAGCCATCACTGCTGAGGATTAGGCTAATAGGAGGCTACAGCCTAGATAGAATATGCCAATTTGCTAATGGTACTCTGGTTCCTGGAAAACATCTTCAAGGTCATATTGCATTGCTGAACAAAAAGGTTATGAGTGGTGTGTTAGCAATGGGATTTATTGTTCTAAAATCTTCTATAACAAATGTACATTAAAGGTCTCCGATTATACTGTTTTTCATCAATATATTATAGGTCTCAGATATATACAAAACATGTCTCTGAAGTGTTTGGCACAAAATACCAAACAGATCATGCATTGTAGCATCCCACAAACCCCTCTGTTTCAGCCCTGTTTCAAAAGTGCTGATTCTCTGTCTGTTACTTTCGATGAAAATAAGGAGCCACTCCCCACGCCCCTCTGAGAGATATGTTGTTAAAAAGAACACAATGGTGCTTTAGGAGGGGATTCAGGTGATAAGGTTGGGGGTTACCTTGGTTGGTTGTTGGCTAATGGTTACACAAGCAAAACATCGTTATGACATCATAAAGTGGCCAAAATCTGATTTTCAGACAGGTTTTTATAAAAATGGATCAGGACAAAAAGTGAGAGAATCGTTTTTCCTGAAACGTTCAGAGTCTCTTTACACAGAGGGGACACATGTTTATGTAGAAAAGACATGAAAAAGTAGATTTTGCAGAATAGGTGACCTTTAAACATATCTCACTCACCTCGCACTTATCCACCACTGGCTGCTGCACACAGTCTGAGTTGTTTCCCGCTGTACCAGCTTTCTGCCCCTCATTTTCGCCGGTGCCCTCCTCTGAATGGGTTCGGCTCTGGTTGCCACGGTGACCAGCGTTCTGGAGGCGTGCAGACGGGCTCCTGGGGGGGCGGCTCAGCTCCCGGCGCAGCGCCCGGTTCTCCTCCTCCACAGCCCGGACACGCAGCTCTAAGGCCTGCCGATCAACGGCTCCACCCACCGTCGTCGATGATTGGGATTCCAATGGAGACAAGGGGAGGGGCTTCACTGTGGGGCACAGAAACAACGTGTAAGAGATAGAGAAACATAATGCAAGATGTGAAAGGTCTTGGTGTCGGTTTTTTTTCCTGGAAATTCAACAAATGAAATACACATTACAAACGAAAATGTGGTGAATCTGATATTTTTAAAAGTGATATAACACATCCAGCGATGGACAGAGATGGCAAAAGTAGGACACATCCTTTACTCAAGTAGAAGTACAGATACTCGT